CCCCCCTCCTCCTCCGCCTCCGCCGCCGCCTCCCCCCTGCGGCGGGATTGCCTGTCACGGGGAGCCCGCGAAGTTTTACGGATACGATAACTTACAGAGACAGCCGATTTTTACGACCCAGCAAGAGGCCGAGCTGGTACAATATCCTGACTGTAAATCGTCCAGTGGTAATATTGGCGAGGACCCAGACCACTTAAATCAGAGCTCGTCTCCTTCTCAAATGTTTCCCTGGATGAGACCACAAGGTTGGGTTTTTTTTTTTTTTTTTTTTTTAAGAGGGGCGAGGGGGAGAAATCTGCTTTCATCTCACGTTCTAGCTTTAAAATTCCCCTTTCCTCTCCCCCTCCTTTTCCTTCTTGTGTAGCCACAGTGGCTCTTATTCATAAAGTAATACAGACTTTTTTTAAAGTAGAAACCATGTAAAGATGATGGGGACAGAATAATTGTGAAGACCTTCTCTCTGCCCTTCTCGCCTGCACATCCAATAATATATATCAGAGCTAAAGAGCACTGTGTATCTTTCAACCCTTAGACCCGTTCCAGAAACCTCCAGCAACATGCAGAGGCACCATTATATTTTTTAAATGTTTATTTCCTCTTTTTTATTTGTTTTAATCAGCAGCTCCTGGTAGACGAAGAGGAAGACAAACCTACAGTCGCTTCCAAACCCTAGAGCTGGAAAAGGAATTCCTTTTTAACCCTTATCTGACCAGGAAAAGAAGAATCGAGGTTTCCCACGCCCTAGCCCTCACCGAGAGACAGGTAAAAATTTGGTTCCAGAACAGGAGAATGAAATGGAAAAAGGAGAACAACAAGGACAAATTTCCCGTTTCCCGGCAGGAAGCGAAGGATGGGGAAACCAAAAAGGAAGCCCAAGAGCTGGAAGAAGACAGAGCCGAAGGCCCGATAAATTAACTTCAACCTTTAAAATTTTATCACAGACTATTAAAACTAATGATCAACATATGCTGGTGGACACCACCAATTTTCTTTGTTGGAAAGGACTTTACCTGTGTTTCAAGCTACCTTCACGTCACTGCTCTTAAGGTTTCTGCGCTTTGAGAGGGTTTTGGGTGTTTAAAAAAAAGTTTCTAGTATGACATAGAAGCAGTCCTTGAGCTGTCCTATGAAAGGGTAATTTGATACTGACCTTGGAGCTATATTTTTATAATGGTAGTTTTTTAATGTCTGAGCTGATGATTTGCCTCAACAACGTAAACTTCCTAATGATTAGCACTAAATAATTGAATATAAAATGCTTTATTAATCAAACAAGTGCACTTGAACATTTAAAATCTTTTCTTTATGGTGAGTAAGTTAAGAGAAGTCTATTAATTTTTTTAAAAAAATTACGCCTACAGAATATTTGCTTTATATTATTTGATTAAAATGTATTATTTATGTTTTTCTTTCTGCTTTTACAATGAATGGTTCCAGTGCCTTTTGTTTACTCCTAAAAGGTTTCTTTATTTTGTAAATGTAATATCTCTCGGGGAAATGTCTGAGCTAAATATTTGAAAAGCACATGTGAGCTGAAAAGTGTAATGTGTAGTCCTGACTCTGCAGCTTCCTTAAATTGGAGAAAGTGTTGGGCCCGTGACAAAAGTTTCAGGACAATGTCAAAGCACACATTTAATCATTTTTTCTATAGTCCATACAAATTATGGCAATTAATAATTTAGAGTGAATGAATACTTGAAAAACCAATTGTAACATTTTCACTCATTAACTTTTCACTCTGGCAAGTGGCCTTGTAGAGTGCGTCTCATTTCTCAACTTGCTTTCGTTTTGAACCGCGCTTTTAACCGTCTGAAATCGCTAGGTCTCTTATGCCGCTGCAGCCGCTGTGATTCCGTTTTTTGAGTAGGTGCCATATTTATTTGTATTCCCTTCGCTCTGTTCGCACGCTCGCTCGCTCATAGTAAGCCACCTTGCTGTGCGCGTCTCAGCTGTTGGCTGGTACGTCCTCTGCTGTTCTTCAGGAATGCGATGGCTTCACCTATTTGAAACAAGCCCCGAGCGCAAATGCAAAAAAAAACCTGAATGTAAACAATTGTTCCAGAACATAGCTAGCTCCTTAATAAAGAAATGAATCTCTTTCTAGAGCTAGTGTTTTTGAGCGCCGCCGGAAATACCCCCTTTCCCGAGGCAAGAACAATCGCCTGGGCTCACACGAAGGCAAAAAAACTCGTTCAAGGCTTCGGTTTGATGAGAAAGAGGTAGGGGTTACACGCATCCCGCGATGTTAAAAAAGAAAAAAAAAAAAAAAAAGCCATGGGGTAGGGGGGGTCCCCCTCTCATTCCAGAGAAGGCTAGCCAGGCTTTATCTTGCTGTAGATAATCCTGCTAAAATACTGTGAAAACTCTGAACTTCGCAAAAAACTCGAGTTGTAGGCCCAGTGGGGGACGACCCAGAGTCCAGGTTACAACACAACTTATTCCACTGACCTCGCGTTGATGCTGGGGTTGGCATCTGTTATTAACAAGATATCCATTTTCCTTTGGAGGCTGTTCCTGCAGCTGCCATTTCACAGGGGAAGGGGGGCAGGGAAAGAAAAGGTAAAATTCAAGTAAAGTAACATTTCTTTCAGAAAAGGGGAAAGCAGCTTTATTAAGTAGATATTGAAGAGTTTTCTGATTTTTCTAAGCACTTTTATTTTTAAAGAGACACATTTTAATTTCCAGAGTGGCTTTTATTGCACAGGTAAGAAAATGGGACCGTATAAGTTTGGGCCAGGATCACCCCTCAGGTGTTACTATAATTTTGGGCCAGGGTCACCCCTCAGGAGTTGGCAGGCTGTTTGCCTGCAGCTTCATGGGCTGGAGAAATGTTGGCAGTGTGGTTAGGTCAGAGGCAAAGTACCACCTGGCTTTCCATCCAGGGAAAGGCCGTGTCTGTGACATTCTCGGATTTGAGCCAGGAAAGACAATTTTAAGGCATGGGTGGCCCGGGGCTTAAACATTTGCATGAGAGGAGACAGCTGCAAACATGCATGCTGGATTTGGGAACGTTTTGCTCTGTGTGCTGCCTGAGACTTTGATGTTGGCTAGCGCAGACCAAAGATGCCAAGGGCCCAGAGCATGGCTGGGGAACAGCCTCAGGCATAAACTGTCCAAAGACCAGTGCTGGCTAAATTCCAGCTGTCCTTGATTTAAAGATTCCTCTGTGTATTAGCAAAACTTGCTGTCTACCGTTCAAGGATGCTCTCTGAATATTACTTTTCGAGCCACTGATTTTGGCTAGACTCACAGGTGGGGGACCTACTGCATGGAAATCAAATGTAGAAATCAAGGAAGGAAGGGGAGGTAAACATATTTCCTTGGCATTTTGTGCTACTTTAGAAGAGTTGTACCTTCTGGCCCCACCGTCCCCCTGAACCATGGTAAAATCATAACTCATATACAGAAGAAATGACTGTTGCAATAACTGGTGTATTTGAGAATATGAATTCGTACATATACATAGATTACACATTTGCAAAAAGTTATAAATGTAGGTATATATGTTTCCTTGTTGTTGCTGGGAAAGAGAAAGGATTTGTCTCCAAATAAAGACCTTGGAGGAATTACACATCACACACACCACCTTCTTTCTTAGGGTGGCTAGACACTCCCACCTCTAATCATGGAGTTTCATGCAGATAGACTGGCAGTGACGAGTGCAAAATATGTCCTTCTAATTGGCTCAAATCTGTAAACATACAAGCGTTGCAGCAAAGAGAAAACATTTTTGCTGCAGAAATTTGCATAAACCTTCGGAGAACGCTCTGCAAATCCAAGTGATACTTTTCTGCCTTGGACTGCAGCAGTCTGCTTAGAGAGGTAGGTCTGTAAGCCGTTTAGAGAAAAATAGGACCCTCCAATGTAAACATCGAATGAAAGAACCAAGCCTTTGGAATGATTTAGGCTCTCTGTTTGCAAGGACAAGATGCGCACAAAAGAGGGTGTAGTTCTCAATGATTTCTAGAGAAAAATCAGTTCAGGGATGCCATTTTGTGAGGTTCCACAACGCTCAGTACATCTCTTACCTTTGCACAGGAGAAAAAAGTGCAAATATGGCTGCCTTTTCATTGCAGAGAGTCTCTTCCCAGCCTTCATTCCCCAAGCTGAAAGGAGGATCACAAAGCTCCGCTTTTATTTGGGTACAGGGGAGGAGGATAATGAGGCAAATTGACTATTAAGATTATCACTTAGTAAATTTTAGAACTGAACTAGCTCTTTGCTCAGTTCCGTATGTATAGGCCAGTGTAAAGTGTTCTGGGCTTTGGAAGGCCCAACAAATTGCCCCATTTGTTTGTATAATTCAAAGTATTGTTTTAGTCTTCAATGTAGAAGTTGTTGCTATTTCACATCCAAGTTTGTTTCCTCTGTTTCCCTGGTGTTTGCTGAATCCTTGGGCATCTGGGGGTGAACAGGGGAAGAGAAAGAACATTTTAGTAGACCCTGGCTCTGCTGTGATTCCCTCCAGCACAGTTAGGACACTGGCTTTTTCTAGAGTGAATATGTATTTTGCTGATGGCAACAGAAGTTCTTTAATCTAAAACATCCAAGGTCATCGGAACTTTTTCAAGGGATACAAATGGCCTGCTCTAGAGGTTGCTGTGCTGCTTCCTGCTTAAGTCCACATCCACTTAGGTACTTACTGGGTGTGAAGATGTTAATAGCAGAGAACTTAGACATCTAATGCAAATATTTATAAACATATTACTACAAGTCCAAAGACACCATCTTTGAAAGGATTGGTGGGGGCAGAGAGGGAGTGTTACCTCTTTCAGGCAGGTTCTGAAGCAGGATGGCCATGCCCATGAAGGAACTGCTGGAAGCCAGTCAAAGACATTTACTGTTAGGGGGAGTTCACCAGAACAGCTCCTATGAAAAATGCAAGGGGAACTGAAATCTACCTTTGAGGGAAAATCTTTTTTTTTTTTTCCTGGCTGATTTTAGGGAGTCACTCTTCCTGAACAAATGGAGACACTACAGTGTTGCACTGAGCAGGTTTTTCAACGGACTAACATTTGGGGGGCAAGGAAAAGGGGGTAACTAGAATTAAATTCCATAAAAATGAGAGTTGTTCTTGGAGAGCACCTTAAGTGTGGGGTTTTGGAAGAGATCCAGAAAGATTGCTTCTCCTCTATCCGGGAACTGTCCAGGAGGATGTTTCTTGGAGATAAAGACCAGGCAGTAGGTGCTCGAAATAGTATTTCGGAGAGTTTGACAAATACCTTAAACCATTTCTGGCCTTTGAACTGGTTGGTGATTCTCCCACCGTAGAAATCTCAGGAAAGGGAAGGGACTCCAATTTATGTTGGGAGGGGGAGAGAATTTCTTGGCCTGCAGAGCCCAGGTTTTCTGTGCAAGATCACTGGGGCCCGTTTGCCCGGTGATGAGAGGGGCAAAAAACGAAAGTGCTTGGATACACTTCTGGACTGGCCTTTTTGTGAGGGGAGGGGAGGAGAAGCCAAGTGACTGGTATAGGGCGAGAGAAAGGGGGAGAGATAGGGGAAGAGATGGGGGGAGGGGAAGGATGCTGTGGGGATCGCCTCTCCAGCGCCTAAGCAGTAGACAGCGCTTATTTTCCCTCCAAACAACGGCGAACTATGCAGACGTTTTGAGCCAAACCAAAAAATTCCAAATACTCGTAATTCCTAGAAAAGGAGAGAGAGAGAGAGAGAGAGAGAGAGAGAGAGAGAGAGAGAGAGAGAGAGAGAGAGAGAGAAGAAGAAGAAGAAGAAGAAGAAGAAGAAGAAGAAGAAGAAGAAGAAGAAGAAGAAGAAGAAGAAGAAGAAGAAGAAGAAAGGGAAAGGAGGAGAGGGATAGAGAGAAAGAAAAAGGACAGGAGGGAGGAAGGAATCTAGGGAGGGAGAAGAGCGAGAAGAGAGAAAGAGGAGGGGAGAGGAAAGAGGGAAAGAGAGGAAAAAACATGGCGCTTGCGAGCTGTATGTGCAAAATCCGCAAGGAATTGCAGTAAATTCCTTTTTGTTTGAAGAAAATTTACAACTTGGTAATAGACCTTTTTATGACCTATTTGCGGTCGTCATTGGCTGCGGCTGGTCATGTGCAGGCGCCGCTCGCCTTCACGGCCTTTTTCCTGATTTCCCAGGCGAATTTCCCCCCGCATTCTGCTTTCCCAGAGCCTCACCCCCTCTTTTTCTAACCTTTGTCTCTGCAGAGGTGGGCTCCAGTTGGCGGCTGCGGGATTGCGGGGTCCGCGGCGGCCTCGGCTCCAGCCCAGCGCCCGACCTGGCCCCACTGCCGTTCGCTCGGGCCGCGCCGCTGCCGCCTCCGGAGCCGGTGGGGAGCTGGGGCGGGGGAACCCGGAAAAAGT